ATGTAAAAAGTCCTTAGATGTAACACCAAAAACAAAATTTATAAAAGAAAAGAGGATAAATTCTACTGCATTAAAATTAAAAATTTGTTCTGAAAAAGGTAGTAAGAAAATATTTTAAAATCACACATCCAACAACAGATTCGGATCCAGAATATATAAAGAACTCTCCAAATTCAACAATAAAAAAACAAATACTCCCCCCAAAAATGGGCAAATGATATGAAAAAACACCTTACCAAAGAAGATATGCATGTAGCAAATAAGCACCTAAAAGAAAACTATCAAAACCACTTAGTCATTAGAGAAGTACAAATTAAAATGACAATAAATACCATGACACTGTTATCGGAAGGAGAAGGATGCAGAGCAGCTGCAACTCTTATACATTGCTGGTGGTAGTAATGCAAAATGAAATAGTCCTTCTGTAGAACAGTAGAGCTTAGATTCAGTATTACTAGGACTAGGTATTTAATCTAGACTTATGAAAACCTATGTCCATACACACATGTACAGGAATGTTTATCACAGGTTTATCCATAATCACCAGAAATTTAAAATAACCTAAATGTTTTCTGATGGGGAAAGGGATAAGTGATTATGGGTACATACATACAATGGGATACTACTCAGCAATAAAAAGGAATGAACTTGATGCATGCAACAACATAGGTGGAATCTCAATGGCATTATACTGAGTGAAATAAGCCAGTCTCAAAAGGTTACATGTTGCATGGTTACACTTACATGACATTCTGGAAAAGGCAAATATATAGGAATGAAAAACAGATCAGTAGTAATGGAAGGATAGAGGTAGAGGGGGGAACAGTTTGACTACTGGATGTAATTTTTGGGAAACTGGATGTAATTTTTGGGGAACAATGAAATTGTTCTATAGTCATTACACAACTCTATACATGTGTTAAAACTCCTAGAATTATTCATCAAAAAGTAAATTTAATTGTATGTAAATTTTTCATAATAACTTAATAAAAATAAAAAATTTATGCCAACAGAAGACAACTTATTGGGTGGGAAGAATGTGAACCTTAGAGATAAGATAGATATATAACTTATTAATTGATTTGTCAGGAATTAGTTTATATAAATAAATAAAAGCTACAACTAGCATGTAATAAATATTTTCTTAAATATTTTTGATAGCTCTCTAACTATTGTTGCTAAATTTTTTAAATTTTAATCTTAGAAGTCAAGGTGGGTGCTGTCTGATTGCTTACAATTATACTATTTTTATTCCCAGTGATATCCTCACTATAATACCCTGCCTAATTCCTGTGCATGAGAAGAAAGACCTTTTTATAGACAATACATCATACTTGAAGGCAATCCAAACAAGTTAAAATGTATTAGGTCCATCCACAGGTGATGCATTAATCCCTGAAGTATATACCAATCATTGGAAGAAGTTTGGAATGGTCCAGGGATAAGAAAAACTCTGTCCACACTCTCCACCACACACTCTATTCTTTATTAGCTCTCCCTCCAGGGAACAAGAGTTACTAATCAGATTGTTCAGTCTGGAATTCTTTGGGTGAAACATGGCACTGAAAAGACATTTGCATTTCTGAACACATCCTTCTTCTTCCTGCAATACACCAAGATTTGCCCTGACATGCTCTTGTAGACTTCTTTAATTTCAAAACCAACATCCAGTGATCTTTCTCCTTTCTTTCACTTTGACTTTTCCAAATTGCTAAGAATTCCCCACAAAACTGAGCACAAAGTGGGAAGAAGTCCAGATGTTTTCTCACAGAACTTTTTGTCCCTCCCAAGCAAAAGCTTTTGTTACAACCACAGACTAAGTAGCTGGGGTCAGTTTAGTAATATGTACAGGAGCCAAAATATTTTTCCGTACTGGTTGTGTCATCTGCTTTCCTTTGGCTATCATGGTATGTTTCTAAATCTCCTCATATTGCTCCCGAAAGAAAGATTCCACCTTCAGTTTGAGGGGAAGGAATGAGGAGGAGTAGACAAGAAACTTGGAAAAAGAAAGCAAGGAACCTCATTTTGGCTTTTTTACCTCAGCCATGTGCCCCAGCTTAATTTGTTTAACCCAGTATTTAGAAATATATTATACTTACATAGAAATCAATATACTTATACTTTACTCCTCTTTTAACTATTATTAATTTTGTATAATTCTTTCAGAAGAAAGAAAAAATGAGTGATAGGCTCACATTAACTGAATCCTTAAATGATTATTATTCATGTCCTTTCACCATTATGGGTTTTAAAAATTGGGGTGCATGAAATTAAAATTCTCCTAAATTACAAAGTCTAGGAATGGTATAAGAAGGGGGAAAGTGTATGATCACATTGTCTGCCCTATGTAAGGTGAGAAACCATCAAAGACCCTGCCCAACTAATCCATATAGTGTACAATCTATAAACTAACTGAAACAAGACATTGTAAGAATATGTTATAACTTATGATAAGAGCGAATCTTAGCTAGAGTTATAAAGCCCCATTTTATCCCTTTCTCATTCCATTGTACATCTGGACTGAAACTTGCTCCATGAATCTCTGTCACTTTTTACTTCTATCTTTAATGTAAGCAAAAAGTCAGCAGACCATTCAAAGGGTGGCTAATCCACTGAGGGAAGACCTGAACAAGACCTCAGGATTCTTATTTCCCTTTATCAAATTTTGAAAAGCTACAGTAGGTTTTGAAAAGCACAGTACTCACTGACCCAATTTTATAAACAGCTCATTGTTAGTCTCTTGTTTTATTTATATTGGATCATCAAGCACATTTTATGAATTTTGGAGTGATCATAACATATTCATCTCTCCCCTTCTTTCCTGAGCATTAAACTTGGAGAAAGAGCTGGGGGATATTTCCCTTGATTACTACAAAATATCTAGATACCCCAAATTATAAAGATTTAGAAGAGCAACAGTTCTAGAAATGAGATTATAAAGCTGAAAAGCTGGGAAAGTTAAAAAAACAATGTATTGTTCTGATTTTATTTCAAATAATATCAGTATATGAGTTAGAAAAGATATGATCAGTAGATGAGAAGATAAGTTGACATATTTTTAGCACCCTGTTGCTATTGGCCCCAAATGTTCATGATTTTTCAAAAGAAACTCAATAATGAAGAAATGACTCAAAAAGTTTTTCACATATCTTATCTAGGTAAAGTTTATGCCAGGTCTAACAGTTATGAATAACTTCTACTTTCCCTAAAGAAAAAAAAGAACTAATGCAAAACTTAGAAAGAAAAATGGAAAAGTAAAGCACTATCCAAACACTAGTCTGCTTAAGCCAAATCAGTCAACTCCAGAAATTTCCTGCTGCTCATTGCACAGGCCTTCACCCACAATAATGCTTTTAGAAAATGCTGCATTAACAACACCCAACAGTGTTCACTCTGGACAACACCAGCCAATTCCCCACTTTGGAAATAGAAGGACACTTCCCCTTGGCTACATCTGACCTTGAACAAAAATGGAGGAACCTCTAGAACTAATGGGGCTTTTTTTTTCCAGGAAGATGGGTTCTAAGAGATAGGGGGAAAGATACAGAATCTGAGGTCAGAAAACTCTAGCTGAGGCTGGCAAAACTATTTGGAATCAGTGTCTTCCCTGGAAGTAGTAAAGTAGGTATAATATTGTTTACTTCAGAGGGTAATTTAAATATAAAATACTCATTTTAAGGGCATAAAAGTGCAAGTGTTAAATAGTTTATATACACATCAAAGAATTGTTGTTTTCCAGTTGCCCTGATGCCATGTTGATTGAATGTCCCCCACTATGCAGAACAATTTATTCTTTTGAGTTATTTGGGGGGAGTGGTAGAGCTCATTGGCTTTTCTCTAAGGCATTCATTCTTCTGAGTCACACAGCTTGTGGTGAGTGTCAAAACTGTCAGAAACACATTACTGCTTCCCCAGCTAGCATCATAATTTGTAGGGGAGGGGATGCAACTTCCTCTGTTCAAGTTTCCCTGACTGAATTTTTTAAAGCCCAGACTCAATTTTTTCCTTTTAAAAATACCTTTCGTCCTCAACCATCCGAGGTCCATGGCCATAGCAAAGGCAAAACAACCTTTCAAATTAAACCATGACACAGTTAAAGGGTTCTAGGCCCCTCTACTCTTCCCTTTACTCCTCTTTATTTCCCACAGCAGTCCTTAATGAAAGCGGGGGCTGGAATTTAAGAGAAGGGAGAAAAAGACTCTGTATCTACCCCTAGAAGGACTTCAGGATGTTAACAATGACCACGCTTTCCCAGCTGTTCCCTAACTCCCCTCTGACCTCATCTGAAACACACATCCATATCTTCGTACACACACGCACATACTGGTAAGCCAGTCAAATGCAGACAAATCTGACTTCCCCAACTTGTAGCCACAGACAGCACCAAAGACACCAGTCTTTCACCGCCAGCTCCAGAAAGACACTGCAACTGCCAGCTGCGCCGCAGTAGCAGCCTCTGTGCTGCAGCCTTCGGCCGGCCCGCCGGAGTTTCAGGTCTAATTCCTTAAGGAGTATTGCTCTTCGGCCCTTCGTCCCACTCTCCTGGGCTTCACCCACTTCTCCGCTCAGGAGGTCAGGGGAAACCGGGTCACTTTGCCACTTTGGTAGAGGGGAAAGTGGCAGGGAAGGAGATTGCCGCTGAACTAGCCCGAAGCCCACTACTCTTCGCCCCATGTCTCCACCCTCCTGCCCACGTAGGCGCCTGTCCGGCTGGCAAAGGTGCCAGTTCTCAAGGTGCCTGAGCTCAGGTGGGATGTAGAGGGGCTAAGTAGGAAGAGCAACGACAGGACAGTGGCTGGAGACTGTTAGAGGACAGATGGGGTAGGACCAGGGAGAGAGACGAAGACTCCGACAGCGGCAGTCACCGCTCCTCCCTCACAGACTGTAACTCCGAAACGCGCGGATGGGCCGTAAGGTAAAGGCCTTCCCTCCCTACTTTCTCCCTTCTCTTACCCGCTCCCCGCCTGGACACCTGGTGAAAAAGCAAGGTGCAGGTGTACCTGGAGCGAACACCATGATTTCCTTCAGCCGTTACGCCCTAGGTAAAGAAAGGCAGACAGACAGAAGGGGTGTGGAGGAAGGCTAGGATTTGGAGGGGTCCGGTGCAGGTGCGCGCGCCAGGCGCGGGTCGGCTGCGGGCCGGGGCGGTCAGCACCTCGGACAGCTCCCCGCCGTAAGATCCTAGGGCCGCAGCTCCAGCTGCTGCAGCGCGCTCAGCCTCCACAATGCACTGCTCCGCCGGCGGCCACCGCGGCGGCAGGAGGAGGAGACGGAATCCCTGCTCAATTCATCCCTCATTCCTATGCCAACTCAGCGTACATAGCTGCTTGCAGAGCAAAGCACTTCTACTGCTACTACCGGAGAAAAAAGGACGGAAGAGGAAGAGAGAAAAAGGTAATTGCCAGACTTCCCGGCAGGCGGACAGCTAATTGCTTCTAATTACCTGCTGTCGCTAGCCCCTGTGGATACTGGACTGACATTTAGAATGGGTTTGTCCCCCTCCTATTTTTTTTAAATGCAAAAAGCTTTACTCTTGAGGCTAAGTACTCTGAGTTGGGCTGCCTCTAAACAAAGGGGTGGGACCTCCAAGTTAACAGCCCTTGGGGCTCAGGACTCCTTCCTCACCCCAGAGTTCCAGCTTAGTGCTAATGTCAGAAGGACAGCAGGAGGGAAGGACTGGGTGACTGTGGAGCCTTGAAGAGGGTGCCACTATCAGGCCCCCTCCCGGGCAGTCAATCGGGCTCTAAAAGCCCCTAAGCTTGGATGCTCTCAAGGTCATCACTTTAGAGAAAGCAGGGCCCAACAGAGGAAAGAGACCTTGGTGAGGCTGGTCTCCTTCACTGACAAGCTCACACTCCCTTCGAAAGGATGAGCCAAGAGTCCCTCGAAGTGTGAAAACAGGCCTGAAACCTATCCAGAAATATTACTGCTTCCCCAGCCTTTACCTAACTGAAAACTCTGTCCATCATGTATACATCCAGTTCTACTCTAAGGTACTGGGACATGCCCCAGCTCGCTTCATGCTTCTAATCCATTGTTCATTTTAAAGCACTATCTAGTTCCCTGAGGAATTCTTGTGCAGTATAGACAGCCCCCACTGGCTCTTAACCAGCTTGAAACAAGTCCATCTAGGTTACAACCAGAGCTAAAGTGACACAGGACCCTCCAGCCTCAAAGCAGATGTCAGTTGCTTTGGGTTTAATCCTCTATTGTTGCAGCTGAATGGAATTCTTCAAAAACAAAGTATGAACAGGGCCATCTCCAGTGTTTTGTAGGGTTTTTTCACTTGCTCATCTCCCTGGAAAGTATACCTGTTCTGAAAAAAAACCAATATTTCTTAATAATTTGGTTGGTGGGTATAAATTCTACATTCTTTAAAAAAATAAAGCATTCAAATAGCCTATTGGCACTGACTTTTTTCAAAATAATCTGATGAGAATGCGAATAGCTTTACAGCTCTTGAACTATGGTTTGTATGAAGACATATGGACAGCATCAACAAAACACAATCAGTACTGTTCTTAGCACCTGGCTCAACAGAGGCTTGAACAGATGGGACCTGCCTCAGCAGCAAGAAGATGCAAGTCAGCTGAAGAGCAGGTTGAAGAGTGAGTATAACAGGATGCAGTCCTCTCATTTCCCCAAGTTACACCAAAGCCAGGGACCAATGATGCTTCATTCTGTCTTATTTGCTTCATTACCATAAGTATGAAAGACTAGTTGAAATAATCTTTGATTGAATGACAGACTTCTTTGTTTTAATATACTCAGTAAGGCTCTCCTTAACAACGTTTATTTTGTAATGGATTTTATTCTCCTATGCATAAACAATCACTTATGATTAAGTTCAAGAAAAAGCAATAGAGTGTAGAGAAAAAGAAGACTTGGAAACTAATCAGACTCATGTATGACTTCTTCACTACGTACTGGTTAGGTGATCTTGGGTAAATTATTTCACTGAGTCACCTAATATAAGGATTAATGTATCTCCAATGTTTGTTGTTGGGATTTAATGTGATTGTGGATTAATTAAGAGCAAGCACAACCTCAATTAAACTCAGTCCAGGAAATTACTGGCACCCTAGTAATAAATAAAACCCTATAGGGATATGTTAAAGCATTATTTCTCAAACATTAATGTGCATGTGAATCCCATGAAAATCTTGTTAAAATGCAGATTATAGTTCAGTAAAGAAGAGTAGGGCCTGAGATTCTGCATTTCTAACCTGCTCCTCGGTGATGTCCCTGCAGCAGATGCTGCTGGTCCACAGACTATATTGTGAGTAGCAATGCATTAGATTCATCAACATTTAGAAATAAAATATTAACTTCTCTTTGCAACCTCAGAGCACATATTTCTAACTTTTATATAAGGAAGGAACCCAGAAGGATTTCCATAGACTCCCAAGCTAGACAGTAGTAGAAAGAAAAAAAAAACCTAAAAATGGCCCCAGAGCTCCTTTGATTCACCTGTTGTGTTAATAGGAGGTAATGTAAAAACCAATTCAACAGGTCAAGACAGAAGAGAAAACTCTGTCAGCCTCACCTCTTCTCCAACATTCTTCCTTCCATTATCACTTTCTCCCATCATCTCTTCATTTTCTCTACCCAACACACCACAGCTACCCAGACAAAGGATAATATACAGTACTCCCCATTCAGTTTTTTGCTTATTTATATTTTAGTAAGAGCAATTAGTTTTATCCCAACAACACCAAGAAACTTTAACGATTTTTTTTATTTTGCAGTATTTTCATAAGTCACTTGTATATTCAGCAATGTTATCTCCATGTCTTACTACTACTGGAGTTATTATTCTGTTGGTTTAGTTTAAATACCCTAGCAATGCTATAAGATTTTTATATCTTAATGTAAAGTTCAAATGTAAATGTTCAATTTACATTAAGATATAAGGAAGATATTGAAAAACTAATAACATAAGAAAGAAGACACTGAAAAACTAATCTTTGTGCTATCCAATTTGTAAAGACATAAAGAGAATAAAAAATATATAGAGAGAAGGAAATGAAAGTTTTTTTAAAAAATGAAGATAGATGATGGGGTAAGTAGGGAAGGAGAATAAAAATAATGACTTTGCTGCTTTAAGAAAAGCAATGGGAAATATTAAAGAATTTTTGCAGGCTTAAAGAGTAGGGTACAATGTCTTTGTAGGTTTGCATTTTACAAAGTAGTTTATGAAACTTGCAAGATGTTTTAAAATGGAATATTGAAGAGCCATATTTTCTGAAAGGGAACATCAGCAAAACTTCCTTACTGAAAAAAAAAATACAGACCTGGCTGGTGTGGCTCAGTGGGCTGAGCACCGGCCTGAGAACCAAAGGGTCTCCACTTGGATTCCCAGTCAAGGCACAAGCCTGGGTTGCAGGCCAGGCCCCCAGCAGGGGACACGTGAAAGGCAACTGCACATTGATGTTTCTCTCCCTTTCTCCCTCCCTTCCACTCTCTAAAAATAAATAAATAAGATCTTAAAAAAAATACATAAGAACAGTTCTCTCAAATCATCAAGTAAATTGTTGAGTCTACTAGATGGTAGTAGAGAGATAATCAGTTAAGGACAAAATTCAATTTAAAATCTACCTGGTTAGTTTTTAGGAAGCATAAAGCATTCAACTCAACTTTCAACTTATCTTCAAAATTGTGGGTAGATGGTATAAAACTTTAGTCAGTAAATTCTGAATGCATAAATGTATCTGTTTACATATGTATAGGTTTTTCACGGTCATTTTAGAAGAGAAAATCAATGAGAAAAAATAGACTGGAAAGAGGAGAAATAAAGAGAGAAATAAAAAGAGAAAGGAAAAGGACGTGGGAAGGGGAAAGAAAAGAGGTGGGAAATAGAAGAAGCTGTCTGGGATGAGAATATACAAAGGAAAAAAGATACAAAACACAAAAAGTAGCATTCTGAGAGACTCAAAACTATTTTTTAAACAAAACAACAACAACAAAAATAAGAATGACACAATTTTTAAAAAAGTATATTGACAAATAGGAAAGCCTCAATATAGTCCAAAATGAGAAATTGGGTGTTCTCATTTTCTGCTCACTTGAGCTGTATATTTGAGAATAAATTTAATTGTTACTTTTGGAAATGATTACTAGTTTTTAATTTAAATTTTATAGTATATTTTTCTATTACCATTTAGTCCCTTTATAACCCCTAACCCAGCAATCACTCATTGTCCATGTTCATGAGTCCCTCTTCCTTTTAGCTCAACCCCTCCATCCCCTAACCTGCCCTCTCCCTTACCAGCTGTCATCCTGCTCTCCATCTGAATCTGTCCCCCTTTTACTTGTTAGTTCAGTTTGTTCATTAGATTCCACATATGAGTGAAATTATGTGGTATTTGTCTTCCTTTGACTGGCTTATTCCGCTTAGCATAATGTTCTCCAGATCCATCCATACTCTCACAAAAGGCAAAATTTTGTTCTTTTATATAGCAGAGTAGTATTCCATTGTGTAAATGTCCCATAGTTGTATCCACTCATCTACTGATGGGCACTTGGGCTTTTTGCATATCTTGGTGATTGTATATAATGCTGCAATGAACATAGGGGTGCTTATGTTCTTTTTAACTAGTGCTTTGGATCCTTCAGATATATTGCAAGAAGTGGGATAGGTGAGTCAAAAAGCAGACCCATTCTTAATTTTTCTGAGGCATCTCCATACTGCTTTCCATAGTGGCTGCACCAATGTGCATTCCTACCAACAGTGTAAATGAGTTCCCCTTTCTTTACATCCTTGACAGCACTTGTTAATTTATTTATGATAGCCATTCTGACATGATATCTCATTGTGCTTTTAATTTGCATTTCTCATATGATTAGTGATGTTGAGAGTCTTTTTCATATCTCTATTGGCCATCTGTATGTCCTCTTTGCATAAGTGTCTATTCAGGTCCTTTGCCCATTTTTAATTGGGTTGTTGTGTTTGTGTTTGTTTGTGTGTGTGTGTGTGTATGTGTATTGAGTTTTGGAAGTTCTTTATAAATGTTGGATATTAATA